TCCCACCGCTGTATGGCCAGATGAGACGCAAACTTCGTTTTCTTGACTGGATAACCAGTCTCGCTAGTAAAGTTTTGATGGATGAAGACTGCAATCAAGGTAAAGACGGTTGCGGCGGCGTACAGGAGTCGTACAGTAAGCACACATGAGTCCGTTATATTAATGCGTGTATGAGTGCTCTTGACGCACTGATCGCACATTGTATTTATGCATAGGCACAGACATTTCCGTACATTCACGCTGTTTCCACGCACATTCACGATAATGTTTTGATTTGTCGTGTATGTGGCTGTGTTTTCTTCTCTAAAATGTAAAAAAGCTCTTTGCTGTTGCACTGTACACATACTTACAATTCAGATTATTTTTTTTTTTTTAGCATTTTTTTCTTTTATATGTGCTTATATGGGCTCCTTATATCATTTGGTTCTTTGGTGTCCTTTTGGAATTTCCTTTTGGAGTTCTTTTGGAGTCCTTTTTTGGAAAGACGTCTACATTTATCTTGAAAAAAGCTTGCGGAAAATACAGATTTTTGAGAATCACCCTTCAATCTTTTGGTTTTCTTTGCTGGATATATCAAATGATGACAAAATAAACATTTGAAACAAGATATATGGTCTATGCTTAATTTCATGAAGTGTGCGATTAATCGCAATTAATCACAGAAAAACGGTGTGATTAATTAGATAAAAATTTTTAATCTATTGTCAACCCTAGTTCTAAATGTGCAGGCGGTTGTTTCTTCATAACAAATGCTATATAGTGATTAATTTTAAAAAAGTAATTATTGGCCTGCATGATTAATAGGCTAGTCTTATTATTACAAATGCTACACTTAAGAACTATGGTACATGGCCTTCAAATATTCCAAAAGATGGCATAGATTAAATCATTTAGAGCCTGATAAACTGTTAAGGAGTAAGACATAAACAATATCAATATAAGAAAATGTTAAGTTAGATTGACTTCCCATAGCATGTTGAATTAGAACATTGTCAAACTATAGCCTATAAGTGCCTAAATAATAGGCTATAAAATACATTACATATATATATCCTATGTAAACAAGTAATTGTTAACTATGATGTTACTTTATTGCACCAACTTTGCATAGATTATAGCACAAAAGATCATTTCATAAAAATAAATATATAAGCAAACAAACAAATAAATAAACCTTATGAGTGAGCATGACCTGGGACTCTACAGTTCACACTTTAACCCCCCTGATGTTCAAACCAAAACTACGCCCTTGCTGGACACAATGATTTTGTTCACATTTTAAAATATAAAACAAATATGATATAAAGTTATATCACAGGTCATCAAAATAATTATTAATAATTATTAAAAATATATTCAAGGAAACCAATACTGCCATGATGTTTACTTCATATTTGCTGTATTTTACCAATGTACATTAATTCTATTATGAAAATGTTTCACATATATTTTTCACATCACAGTATTTTTTTGAATGAGACCAAATGTTTTTAAGTTCATTTAGTAAAATTTTTTCAGAATGCAAAGAAAAATCATAATGGTTGAAACAATAGATCTAATTTCCTTGATGCACAATACAGTTTTCGTAAGAAAGTGAAATATGATTCAGACATTTCTTGACGGTTTCTGTGAGATTCACTCTGAAAGTTCTATTGTAACTGTTTTTTGTGAAGGTTTGTCATTCTGGCCTGTGTTTCTGAAACATTCTCTTCTTGATCCTTCTCAGCCGATAGCCACTGGAACTCCCAAAGGATCCAAGAGTTGCAAGCCTGGCTACGACGATACTACTCTCCCCTTGATGGAGAAGAACCAAGGTTAGCGTAAGACCCCAAACAGAGACTTTACACACCCTGATAGCAGCAAATCTGGGTGCTCAGGGGAGTTCCGGAGGTTCAGGTGCACCTGAGCGAGCATATCTTGTGAACTCTACTACTTTCTGTGTTTTAACACGTGGCACAATGCTTGATCTCTCACCCCCGCTGCTCAGCTGGTGTGTGCAGCTGCCGCATCTCTTGTGCTTTAATCGGTCATTTGAGCAGTTCATATGATACAGAATGATTTATGAGGATCAGACAGCAGATTAATGGGCCTCAGTGTAGGAGCTCATTATTCATTCACTCTCAAGTAAAATGATGGTAAATTACTGCGGTGCTGCAATAAAAAGCACCATCCATCCACCCAGGGCACATCTCATTGAGAGAGGAGTTAGCATGACAGCTTTGGCTTTTTCTTTTAAAGATTTTATTACTGCTGTTAGCATGGATGCTCATGACAGTGATACATTTGATCACTTCCATCAGTCCCATTCCCTGCTTGCCTTTCTGTGAAGAATAGAGCACAAGAGTGACCACCCACCTTTTCAGAAGCCTTTGTTTCAGAAGCATTTTTCTCACTCATTTTCTCTATAGCTGCATTAAAAATCTATAAAAAGGTCTTGAACCAAATTAACTGCTATAAACTACTCATGCGTGAACTATTGTGAAGGATATTTCTGAATCAGCACATCAATAAAATATAAAACATTTAACTTAAGATCATTATATTATGTTCTAAATTTATTCTTAAATGTATTTAAATATGCATTACGATTCAGAAATTAATGGACGGTAATGTTTTTGAAAGTCTCTTATGCTTATCAAGACTGCATTTATTTATTCTGAAATACAGTAAAAGTCTATATTGCATGTAAATATAGTAAAAAAAAAAAAAAACAGTAATATTATAAGAATATTATTGCAATGTAAAATAACTATTTTATATTTTAAAATGCAAAGCTGAATTTGCAGTAGCCATTCCTCCAGTCTTCAGTGTTGCATGTTCCTTCAGAAATCATTCTGATATGCTGATTTGGTGCTCAAAAAACATTTCTTCTTATCACATTTGAAAACGGTTATGCTGCTTAAAGTTTTATGTGGAATTTCATTTTTTTTTTTTCGTACTGACCCCAAACATTTGAACAATAGTGTATAGTAATATATCAGTTGACTCAGAGTGTAATATGACTAATTTGATTGTCATTCTTGTGCTTTATGGCAGTGGGTGGTTACTTGAGTCAGACTGCCACTGTTCTCACTTCCTGTGTCTTCTCTGATTGGTGTCTCTCGCTTCACAATTGTGGATAGTTTAGGATTTCACAGAGAATTATGTATTTAAACTACTTAAATTTCAACATTTCGAGATTTTATATTTAAATTGACATTCTAAAAGTGATCGTGAGTATTAGTGGCATGAAAAATCCAGTCTGTAAAATGCTTTGCAGGCAACAGAGGGTGTAGCGCTGGGGATATGATACCTATGGACGAACTCAGTCCAGGTAAGACAATGTCGGCATGCCCTCAAAAAAAAAACCCTACAGACTAATGTGGTTTTGTAAGAATGCAAAACCATAATCCCTCTAATTCCATTCCCCCTAAAATTCCTCCCAAGCAATGTTATGATTAGTTTTAAAAGTAATTTAATTTTAACTGCATTTATTTTTCCCTGAAGAGTTTCAGTCCAACGCTGTCTGCAATACCCCTCTTCTAATAAGATGTTTGTAGTGTTGTTGTGTTTTGGGCCAATGAAAATTTGAACAGAAGCGCAATTGCTTTTTCGCTACGGAGTACCACCTCTTCATTATGGTGCCGTCTCTCTGATCTTCTCCACTGAAGCAGCATCCTCTCCAAGCCTGACTGACAATAATTGGACAGAGGCTGAGGATGGGGTGCTGCTTGAGTGGGTAGAAGGAAGTGATGAAATGCGGTGCCTGTGGGGGACGGCTCATAGACACGGCCCGCATGCACACAAACACAAAACCCGCACAGTAATCACACACATCTCACACGCTCAGCTGCGAGCACGAGAACATCTGTGAACGCAGCACGTACGGGATGCTCCCAGCTGAAGGTTGAGGGATCTGTCGCTGCTTGTTTGAAGAGCCATGCTGAGGGTGCTGACACACCGATCTCGATAACAGAGCTCTTCTGCTTTCTTTCCCTCTCATTAGATGGCTATTCGACGATTGACCAGAGAGACAAAGACTCCAAGTACAAGAGCAGCGACGGTTCATCAGATCTGCAGGAGCGGGAGCCGTTAAAGGTCAGAGCAGAAGTGTCAGAAGCGAGACACGTTTCTACATCTGTTTAATCTGAGAAGGCACACTGCGTGACTGTGTTGTCTGTGATAGTGGGGTAATATCCTCGCTGTCTCTTTAGCTGCTTCAGGCACCAACACTGCAGTTTTGCAGCAGAAAGAGAATTTGTGTTGGAGCCACGGTGAAGTGGTGAGTTGTCTAATTAGTGGAAGGCTGCAAAACAGTGTTGTCAGATCTGTAGAACAATAAGCAATCTAAGCCAAAATAAGCAATTTGGTTCACCAAAACAAACCAAAGTGGTTTTCATGCATTGGAAACGTGACCCATGACTGCTCATATTTATAAGCAGCCTAATGAAAAAAGATCCTAAAGTCGCTTATAAGTGGACATGGCAATACTGATTTTATGGCATCATAGATGACCCCAGTATAAAAACAGCAGGTACTGTAGAAATATTATGATGGCTTGTAAAATACAAGAAATAAAATTTCATCCAAGATGGCAGACACAGTCGAGAAAATTTTTATTTTTTTTCAGTACTGAAGAGTGTCTGTAAAATGTTGAATCTACATAAAAAATCTATATTTAATTAATTAAAAAAGCAAAAAAAGTAAATTTTTAAATCAAACTTTCCATTCAAATGATTTTATTGATAATATAATTTGTCATGAAAAACTAATATATATATATATATATATATATATATACACAGTATCTCACAGAAGTGAGTACACCCCTCACATTTTTG